GTCCTTCGGGGTTAGGCCGTTGAGGGTCGTCATCATCCGCATCCGCCTCACTCTGGGCACCGCCACTGCCACTTGTGGAGATGGGTGATGCTGCTGTTTCTTGCGTCACTTCCGTTTCTTGCGCTCCCTGTGTGTCTGCCTCCTTATCTTTTTGCCCTGCCTCACCATCCTCTGAAGGCCGTTCCAGTGGGCTGGACTTCGGTTCGTTTTCTGACGCTGAGTTTCCTGCATTGGTTTCTGGTGAAGTATGGGTGTCGTCTGATGCCGGTGGTACTCCCCCTGCTGGTGGTGATAATACTTCCGCTTGTGGTGTGACTGGTGTGACCGGTGGGCCGCTGGGAGTGTTGTCCGTGTCCTCCGCCTCCCGCCTTGCCTCGTTTCCAGTTCCACCAAAAGTAACAAGAGCTTCTGCTCTTATTTTTTGAGTATCGGATTCTGATGGCTCATCTTCCTCCACATTGGGCCCTGCAGGTGTTTTTGTTTTTGATTTCACAGTCTTTTCTGGGTATTTCCTTCCCTGAGGCGATGAATCCTCGACAGGGTCCTGTGGAGCACCCTTCCCATCGTGAGTGGGAGGTCGTGGAGAACTACCGCCAGAAGAAGAAGAAGGATTCGACAAGTTATCTCCGCCAGAACCCCCACCTTGGCCACTTTGCTTTCCTCCTCCACCGTTAGGGACAGAACCGGCTCCGCCACCGGAATGCATACGGTCAACAGCAGGTTGAATGTCACCATCAGAAGCAGAAGTCCTCAAATTGGAACTGTCACCGGGTTTATTTCCATCAGATGCTGGTGCTGTTGCTGTGCCTGCCGGTGGTGGTGGTGGTGGTCCTTCATTTTCTGGCAATGCTGGAGATGTTTCCCCTTCGTCTTCTGTTGTGTCTTTACGTATCAGTGGTTCTTCTTGATCTCCCTCATCCAATTCTTGTTCTGCTTCCTCATTCTTCTCATTTTTTTTTCCTTCTCCTTTTTTTAGGTTTTCTTCCATCCTGCCATTTTGCGTTGGTGTTTGTTTGACAGAACCTTTTGGAGGGTTTTCATTCTTTACCTCTTGTGCATCCAACGATTGTTCTGCGGTGTTCGAGACCCCTTCGATGGGTTTTGGTTCTTCAGGTTGTTTTGCAGGGTCGAGTTGAGGTGCAGACTGTAATCCCCTCGACGGATCCTCGTACGTTTCAGCAGCATCATCACCCTCCGCCACAACTCCATCAATACCGCACCACAGCACGCAGAGGGCACACACCACCAGCAGCACACGGCCAGTCATCATCATCGCCATCACTCCTGTCACTTGCGTGCAGCCTTAAGCACAAACTAACAACACGTCAACGCAGAGCGGAAGCAAAAGGAGAGAGACAAGCCACACAACCAACGCACCGTCCCATCCAGAAATGAGAGTCATGCGCCACAACAAAAATTAGGAGGGCGCGGTTCAACAACAGTCAACACAAAAAAAAGAGCAGCGCTCCTCGCCCGCGCCCCGTTCCTCACACTCCCACAGTCACTATTACTGTCATTCTCTTTCCTCAGGCTTTCGCAGGCACGCCCACTGCAGGTCTGGTGGAAGCCACTGCAGCCAACGAGCCTCGTCGCTGGGGCACTCTGGTGCCTGCACTCCGGGAGAAGAAACATGTCGGGCCGGTGCTGCGCCAGTCGAGCAGCAGGGGCAATCCTGAGGGGCGAATGGCCGGAAGTTCTGAGCTGCCAGATAACTACGAGGCCATCCTCATCGGGGCCGCGGCTCTTGAGGACACCACCGCAGCGGGTGATGCCGACGGAGTGACCGCAATGAAACGACGGTGCGGTTCTGTCAGTCGGGCTGCAGGCAAACCGGCTCGCCGCTCCACAACCAACAGAGTGTGAGCTCCTCGAGGGGTGACGCCCTCGTGGTCCCCATCACGCTCGCAGCACTGGCAAACTGCAATCACTCCCACAGAGAGACAAGGAAGAGTGCGTGGATGTGTGCCGAGAACACAGCGACTGTCATCGTCAGAGGAGGCCATCGTGGCACCGTCCGTCACGCGTCAGCACACACCGAGTGACGCACTCAGCAAAGCCAAAACCAGAGGGGAGAGAAGAATAGCCCCGAGTGCAGGCAACACCCTCACAAATGGCGGGCATCGTGCAGCCGCGTCAGTCGGCCTCCTGCAGAATGCAAAAGGCGTCCCACACGCACCCATCCAAAGCCACCGTGATTCACACCGCAGTCAGACACGCAGCAGCCTCTCCATGTCAGCACGGGATGCAAGCCAACGTCCCGTCGTCGCCAAAGCATTCCTGCAGAGCACTGTGCAAATACTTTTGTGTGTGTGTGCTGGAGGAGCTAAAAAGAAGAGGAGCACAGTAAGGCACATCAACACAGCAAGAGGCACAGCTGGATGGCAGCGATACATGTGGTACGGCCCAAACCTCAACAATCACGCACGGTGGCAGCACACACCCATCGAATAAACAAAACAAAAACACGGCGGCAGGGTGTGGCTGTGTGTGTGTGTGGCGCTGCGGGTGTCTGCCAGCCCTCGCCGCTAAAACAACAAAACAAGAGGGAAAGAAATGTGTGCTCCGCCCCACAGGCCCTCGTCGCACGCCCACACGTCACGGCTCCCTCAGCGCGCCGTTCGTCGCGGCCCCTCCTCATGCGTGCAGCAGGCGTGGCGCACAGGGCCGTCGTCATGAGCGTGTCGGTGGGTGTGCGAGTGGAGCAGTTGGGCGGGAAACACACGGCACCCCTCACAGGAAGAGTGCAGCAAAAAACAATTAAAAGAGTAGAAAAGAAAAAGAGCGTCCATAGTGATTGTCCCAAAAGCAAAAAAAGGAAAAAGGGTGTGAAAAATAAAAACAAAAAATTTAAAAAATAAAAAAATAAAAAAAGCGCACAAAAAAAAACCGAGTTATGAGAGCATTTTATTCCCAGAGGAAGTAATTCTTTGCAGGGGAGGTCGCAACTGTCCCACGCGGCAGCCAGTCACTCCTCACAGAGCCGCGAACCCCCACAGTCCCAACAGAAGCAGCAGCGATGGCAGCAGTCCGCTCCCTCTCACAGTGCCGCCGTCACCCGTTGCTCCTCCAACGGCATGGGAGTTCGACGACGCCGCCCTCCCCACACTTCCCTGCGATGGACTCGGCGGCAGTTGCTGTGCAGTGGCAGATTCCCCCGCCGTTGTCTTTTGACCCCCTGCCACGGTATGAGAAGCAGCCTCCGCTGGTGATGCGACATCTTTTTCCAAATCGGCATTCCCACCAGAAAAGGTCAACGGACGGTTGTACAGCAGGACGTTCGACACCGTCACATGCACCTCTTCTTGGCTCCCTGCGCCGCTTCCATCCCCTCCAATGTAAAAGTGGGAGATCTCGTTCGAATCTGTAACTTTCAATTCACATGGCGCATCTCCCACACGCTGACCATCGACGTACGCGGAGCCCTGGCTGCCGTTCCGTAGCAAAATTACCACGTGCTGTGTTGGCCCCAAAGTGCTGCTGAGCTTCCCAGAATTCGGTACGCCATCGCACAGCACCTGCCACTTCTTTTCGCTGTCGTACGACAACTCCATAAGTTTCTCTTGGCCTTCCAGACGCACACCCATCACTGGAATAGTGGTACCTCCCTCCGTCGCTTCCTTGTCGATGGACACCGTCGCCACAAGAGTGAAGTTGTAGTTCGCAAAGTGGTACAGCTGATTCCGCCCCTGCCTGCCAACGGGCCACTCCGCCCCTGCGCCACGCCTTGTGAACTTCACGCCATCGGTAGTCCCTGCTGCCCCAACACCGCTCTTCACGGTGGCGTTCACCCCGAGGTACTCGTCCCTCCATGTACTCTCAGAGAAGTTGCCGGACAAAAAGCCAACCAGCCCATCTGTGACCACAGAAGTGCAGGCAGTGCCAGTCGAGGTACTCTCCGCAGCACTTGAAGTGTGGCACAGCTTGGAGACACTTTCGTCCACTTTCTTCCAAGTCGCCACCACCTCATTCACCCGCTCCAGCTGCGCAGTCAGAAGCACAGACCAAAGACTGCGTGACGATGTATCTTCACCGCTCCTATCCTTCTCGTACAGTGCAATCAACTCCTTATTCTCACCTCCACCACTTTTGTACAACAGGGAGCTGGCGGTAACGTCGTCTTCCCCTTCCCTGGATACCGGCCCAATATCAACAATGTGCGTATTGTCCGTCAGCCAAAGATGAAGTTTGCCCTTTTTGTTGCCTTTTTCATTGGAATAAACCGGCAGAGTGACGAGCATCACCCTTCTCTTATGATCATCTCCAACAGTCGCTGTGACGAACCCGCTCCCAACGCCCTTCTCAGGTCCCTCGCGTTTGTTGCCCCACACGCGCGAGAGTGTCCCGAGTGCCTCCGTCCACGAATCCCCCTTGTCACCGGACTCGTACACCCTGCGGCGG